ATGTGTCGTTGTGTACTATGATGGGTTGTAGTGATGTATGAGAAGAAGGAATACAACCTCATGATATATGTAATATATATCTATACATATATACCATGATATATATGTTGTCGTGTGTGGTGTGTATGTGTTGTGTGTGTGTGTTTGTGTAGTCGTCGTGTGTGTGGTGTGTGTGTGTGTGCGTGGCCCGTGGTGCGTCTATGCGTGCGTGTGTGCCGGTATGCGATGGAGACCATCTTTCGGCAGATAGTATCTGATCGGGCTAGAAAATTATACCGTCAAACCTCCATCAATAAAGTGTGACATGATAGAGTCAAGGGACTGTATCCGCAAGATAATATTAAGAAAATAGCTTTTTCTCAAAAACATATTATAGTTTTCTTTGCTCAGTAATCATACGGTGCTGATCTGAGCTGCAATTCATATTAGCGCGTCTGTTCTCTCTTCGTGACATTCTTGCGAGCTATGGAATATATTTTGTTAATGGGGGTTGTGTCTCCTGCATTCAAACTACGACTGACTATTGGTGGGCACCCGCGCCCGGACGGCCGTCTTTCTTCACCGCAGGTGTCCAGTTCAAAATTGCAGAGCGGGCACGTTCCCCCTGTTGGCCATTAAATACAAAACGGGAATTACATTATGGGAATCACTGGAGTTCCTTAGTCTGAGAATTCGTGGGCACAGTGACTGACCTCTGACACAGCGTCTTGCTGTACGCATTCATCGTAACATCCGTTGAAAATGTTGCTATCCTAAAAGCGCACGAAAAACTATAATAAACAACTGAGACATAACCCCTAATTACCTCAATGACTACGCCACCGCGAATCGCCACTCTGCGACACACGATTTACTCGGCTGCATGCCCTCGCAAATCCAATTGTCGGCTGATACAAAGGTCAGTTGCTGCAATACTCCTAATCGACGCCCGAAGTGTAGTCATAGGCACTATCCATAACACAAAACCCCAATCGCCTCGTAGCTGAATCATAGAGCAGAGACCACCTGCTGAAATGTCGGTTGGATCGAATGCCCGTCTTTTTTAAATTCATTCTTCTTTGTTTTTCTGTATTTCTTCTTTTATACGCATATTACGGTTGTGAGCAAGCAGATCGTGAAGTTGTCGAGATTACATTCAGCTGTCACGCACGCATGTTCGTGTAACTCAGTACGACGGCAACGCACGGCGCGGCCAGATGTAGGGTGCACACACACACTGCATGCCCGGGACCGCGACCTATCCACGCAGCGCACGCACGCCACGGCACCGATTCGGCACGCACGCACGTCTACGTGCACATGCATGCACGCGACGCACGCACGTGTACCTACACACAACAAACGTACGAACGCACTAACATGCACACAACGTGTACCTGCACACAGCACGTGGCGCAGCCGACGCACCCGCACAAACATGTACCTCACACGCGCGCACCGCACGCACACGTGTTAGTGCACACACACGACGCACAGGCACGCACGCATGCATCGCACGTGTAAGTTCAAGCACGCACGCACGCCCGCACCATGTACGTACGCACGCACGCACGCACGAAACTGCACGTGACGTGCACACGCTTCGGCACGCACCATGCCGGCAGGTGTTACGCTGCGCATGCAACGTATCCATGCACTGCGACACGTCGCGTACGCAACGCACGCACGCACGCCGTGTACGTGCAGCACACACGGGACGCAGCGCACGCACGTGTACGTGCACTACACCGGACGAACGCCGCGCACGTGTACGTGCACACGCACGCACACATCCATCTCGCTGGCATCGACTATTGGGATTTGGAGCTATACAGGCACAGCTGTTATTTTCCCGTTCGCGTGATTGCACGAGCATTCTTCAAGTGCTTCTCATGCAATAGCGATTTTCATATGTACGAATTCGACCCCCCGCTGTACTCAACAGGCCTTGAAGCATATCAACTGGTAAGCGGTGCACGGCCGCCATTGCGGGTACACTAATACTGATATAAAGCAAGCGTGCGAAGAGCGTGCGCCGAGGCAATTCGCATCGAGTCGCATTGACTTTTCACGAAGGATTCTTTCAAGCACAAATACTCAACAATTACGACCTCCATCTTTGAGCTACCTAAGTTGAAAAGTACAGTGCTTTACTTGTTGTAGAATATATCACGATGTCTCACTTCGCAGTGAAGCAGAGCATGTTCACGCAAATCACGAATTAGAGTCATGCAAATTCCTCAGCGATCTCTAGGATTGCTGCGCGATTGGAAGACATCATTAAGTACATGGCGGAAAGCGGCGCAGCTGCACTGGCTAACCACAACACGTTCTTTCCAATGAATTGTGTTTACAATCGCGCAGCACGCTAGACGATGCGCGAGAAATTTCATGATTAATTCGTGAATTTTGGCGTATGACACAGCTCCGCTGCGAGGAGACATGATCTGTTCTACAACCAAGTAAGCGGCCTTACTGTCAATTAGAGAGCAAAGATGGAGTCGTAAGGTTGAGTATTTGTGTCTGAAGACCTGTGAAATCAAGCGAGCGTCGAGCGAATTTCCTCGGCGCACGCTTTCGCACCGCTTGCTCTTTATATTCTAGTGTATTAGTGCTACAGCGCAATGGCGGCGCCGTGCGCTTACAGTTGATATGCTTCAAGTGCCTGTGCGTCTGCTAAACATCACTATAGGCCTAGCATGCGTCGAGAATTACTTTCAACGCTTGAAGGACGTTACGGCTTTCTGTAGCCACGTGGGCTAGCCGGATGGAAAGCGAAAGCCTTGCTGCACCACTTACCTATAGTTTCTACTTGGACTGGACACCTGGCCGGTCAGCAGCGTGGGGTCCAGTGACTGTGTAGCGTGGAAGTACCGTATCGTTGTAGACAGTAGACGTGAGATAGTAGATCGTATACCGGTGATGTAAACGGTAAACACGTTATAGGCTTTAGTTCTAAACACAATGAACAGTGACAGTGGTACACATACGCAAGCGATGGTCGCGGGACTCTCTCTGAACTCACTCAACGCTTGCTTTTATGCATCTCTCTTGACCTCGCTCTGGTTCCAACGGCCTTTTTCGAAAGCCGGTTTGTAGCCCCGGGCGGTCCCGCCGTGTCTGGCCGTGTCGCGATCGCTTGTCATTAAGGTTCCCTTGAGACAACTGGTCGACGAATTCGGGTACCTCGGTCCGTGACTTCTTCTTGGACAATGCTAACCAGTTTATGCGCCCAAGTATGTGTTGGTGGTCAGCAGAGCTGTCCCTGTCCATTTCCTTGATTACCTAGGCGGTGTGGAAATAGTGTTTTCCGGAAATCTCACGGTTCGTACAACTGTAACCACGTGGTCCCACGGCTGTATATAAGCTTCGGCGTCCCAGCTCAAAGCAACGACAGAGCCAGCTGCTCAGTCAGGAAGCTCGCACGCCTCCCTCGCTCTCTAGCTGCTGGCGCCTGTCCGCCGCTGCTAGCTGACCCTGTAGGGTGTAGCGGAGCTCGGTCAGAAGTCTACCGAAAAAAACGCTCAGGACGATGATCACGCGCTTGCTGGTCCCCCCTTACCTGACGCAAAAGATACACACTGCGGACCAGCTCGGCTCAGGTGCAGGGAAGCTCGCTCGCCCTCGCCGCACGGCACGCACGGTGCTAAGTCGCACGCCACGCATGCACGCACATGTACGTCCGCACGCAACGCACAGAGGCACAGCAAGCAGCACGTTGCACGCAGCACCACGTGTACGGCACCTAGCATAAACAGCCGCTTTCTACAAACATGTGGTCATTCAATCTGTAAATGTCAACTAGCACGCTTTGCTTCTGCAACTGCCCAAACATAACAGAATACTCCGTTACCTGATCTATGACTGTCCACGTAAACTCGCTATTAGGCCTGCGCGATGGTGTGATGCAATGTTTGCTAAGTGAATTAGCCCCGCCAAAAATTCGAGACCGTTCGGCTGGCAGCAATTGACGCGTGCGCCGGCTTTCGATGTGGCGCACGGATGCGAGAAGCTGCCAGCGCGTGAACTTTTCGTAGTGAACTGCGCGCAAGATCACGTCTTAGCGAGCAGGGTCAACACCTCTCCAGGCGACGCTTCTCTGGTATCCGGCTCTTCATCTGATTGTGGTCCCAAGCTGCATAGAAATTATTGAGAAAAGGCCACGCCGTACGCTATCGTGCCGGATTGCGTTTTCCGTATGTACGCGGTCAGATATATGACTTCGTTGGCGCCAGGCGCTATCCGGAGTAAAACTCATAATGATACTATTAGCATTGTATGTAACTAATTGTTACTGAGTAACATTAAATAAAGACTATGCATTGTAATGTTAATAGACTATGCCGCATCTCTAGGCAGTTTTGTCCGTCAGAGACGTATGTCCTGCGTATTAGACATTGAAATGAATTACAACCTTATCTATAAAGACTTGCAATCTCACTGCTAGTTTTAGCTGTTTATGAACACTACACTTTTGCATTCGTTTTGCAGTTTTAGTTGAGGACGCTAGGTGTCCTCAGGGCCAGTATACTTGCGGAATAATTGAATTTAGGGCTGCTCGCTTTGTATGCACTTGAGTTTTTAATTTGCGCGTGAGTGCAATATTGAGATTCTTTGGTTGAGTGGTGGCAAACCTGCCATCACTTACTCAAATAGATTCAATCAGGAGTGACTGATAATTTATAATTATTAATCACTCTTGATTAATACACTGAGCAGTTATAAGTGATTTGGTTTTGTATTCACGATCCGATGATGCACGTATCCTCTTGTGGCAATGAGTAGCTTGCCATCGGAGATGACACCAGTACCGCGATCGGCACGTCGCAATTGTAGACACGGGGCTCTCTTGTGTTCACTCTCGTCTGTTGCTAGATTTTATGTGTAGTGCAAAACCTTTAGTTTACGCCGTGTGATTTGTACGTGTTTTAGTAAGTATAAAATATACGGTGAAACGGCAGTTGTAAACTATTACCAATTCTACTTTTTATTTATTTTATTTCTAAGTATGTTCACGCATTTCACGGCCCATATAGCACTTATCTATAAGCGCACAGTCGCCTGGCAGCAGAAAATATCCAGCGACTACAGTATCCTTGAACAGCGTCGGCGTCTATTTTGATGCTAACCTTTTTCGTTTACTGTAGCCGTGTTGCTAGATGCAGCTGTGAAGGCTATCCCGCTGCGGGGCGTCAGCCGCCCGCTTCTCAACCCAACATGCGACGTGTTTTGTACGCTAGACGGCTGATCCTTAACGCGCCCGCTTCTCAACCCAACATGCGACGTGTTTTGCATGGTAGCGGACTGATCCCCACCGCGTCCGCCCAGGCACAGAACGTGTCTGAAGCCAGCACGAAACTGCCTGTTGGTCACGCCGTAGACGATCGGGTTGACGCAGCTGTTGAAGGGCGCCATAAAAATTGCGAAGAGAAAAAATGGCGCCGGCCAGTCGTAGTTGGGATCGAAGTAGAAGTCAAAGACCATCGGTGTCCAGGTGATTACGAACACGACGAATATCGTGCAAAGGGTTCGTGCGAGTTCGGTCGACGCCGTAGACGTCTTCGTTTTTGACTGGACCGCACCTGCAGCTGCGACCTGTAGCGAACAAAGGCAATGTTACCCCGTTCTCGCTACGGTACCGCCGAATAACCGAGTAGCTTAAGGGTAGAATGCAAGAAACGTCACTATTGTTATTACCAAAGATTGACGGCGAATAGCCGTACCTGTCCTTTTTAGCTACTAATGCAGAGATTGCAGACATTACTAATGAAATGCGATGCATCATGAAGGCAGGTTAGGCGCATTGCCTTTATCCGGACATAATTTGGTTTGTGCGAGTGTACGTTATGTAGGATTTCCTTCTGTGAGACATAATAAAGTCATAATAAACTAAATTTAATGCGGTTACTGTCCACTGCACAGGCACTTGGATCGTTTCAATAAAATATAATGCTAAATAAATACGAAATCTATTTACTACCAAAGTCTTAATGTTTCTCTACTCTCTTTCGCCTATTATTGCCGACAATTCCCTGTAAATGCCGTGCAAATGCTCCTCTGCAACACACATGTACACCGCACGCACGCTGCCGCACACTGACACACATATATATACGTATGAGTAGAGAAACATTAACACTTTGGTAGTAATTTGGTAGTTAATTGTTTGGGGTACCTGCACCTTTTAGCTACTAATGCAGAGATTGCAGACATGACTAATAAAATAAGACGCATCATGAAGGCATGTTAGACGCGTTGCCTTTATCCAGACATAATTTAGTTTGTGCGAGTGTACGTTATGTAGGATTTCCTTCTGTGGGACATAATAAAGTCATAATAAACTCAATTTTATTATTAAAGGGATTGGGACAATGTCATAGTTGAGATGGCGTTGACGGGCACACGTACGCGCGGGGAATAACAATAGACGCAATGGCGCTAGAAGTAGTGCCAGTCTAACCCGAAAGTACTTACCCGCTGCTTACTCTTGTAAACGTGGAGGAATACCTTCACGTAGCAGATGGCTGTCACGGCTACGGGCGATATTAGACAGAGCGCTGCCCACAGGTGGCGGTGTAGCGGGCTCGTGTACCAATTCCACAGGCACGACTGCGAACGGGGTTCAAACCAGAAGCCGTTGTCGTAGAAGAACGCCGGCAGATTTATGACGAAGACGGCAAACCAGGTGACAACGACAATGGCGACGCATTTGCTCGACGTGAACACGCGTCCGCAGACGTTGGAGTAGCAAAATAGCGAACATACGACTGACACTGATGACCATAAGTGTGAAGAGCGAGGCGTTACACACGTTAATGCATGCGGCGCCGGTAAGCGTACACAGAATCTTCGACCCTGTCAACACCTCCTGCTTGAGAAATCCTACAGTGAGAAACCCCGGGAAAGGGGCGTGTAGATCATTGATCTAGCAGTCATGTATCATTTCAGATGGAAAAAATGTGTTTATCTCATGGGGACTGGAATATAGGAAGTATTATCGCCGCATTTATATTCTATGAAAAATGCGGTTTGTAGAATTAAAATACAATTTTAACGGACAGAAAATATCGAGTGATACGAAAAATTGAATTCCAGTTTATGGAATGCTATCACCATCTTCACATTTACCTCTGTCACAGTTGTCAAAACAAATACGCGTTCATAACCGTATAAGAAACTTACAAGCCTATTTGTAGATTCATATAATTATATCATGATTATTATAGGACGGAATAAAGAGCATCGTTACGATTACACTAGATCCCCCGTCACACTAGATCTTCACTAGATCCCCCGTCACACTAGAGCTACGCTCATCACGATCGCCCCACGCTCAAAAAATTTGGCCGAGCGTGGTGAGAGCGTGGCTAATTGAGCCCCAGCGCCGATACTACGATCTAAGTGCGTCTTTACCCCGCCCAACAAGCTTTTACCACGCTCCATACCACGTTCAACACCACGCCCGCATCACGCTTGCACTGCGCCCGCTGCGTCTTTATTGCGACCAATCCGATCGCATTGCGTTCAAACGACGATTTCACTGCGCTTAAGCAACGCTCACCGCGCCTCAACTGCGCGCCAGTCACGCTCCTAGTGCGACTTAATCACGGTGATGACGGACAATGAGCATGGTACGGCAGCAGTTGTAATGCAGGTTTTTTTGTGCGCATGACCGGTCGTGCACAAGAGCCGAACGTGCGTCTGGCTGCTGTGTGCGCAGGTCGTGGAACAACGCATTAGACATGACAAGGGAAACTCTTAATCGGGTTTTACCATGCGTGTGTCTTTCGGCAATGCCTCTGTCTTTTGTAAGCGCGTAAGGTCGAAAGAAACACATCGTCTGGGGTGGCTAAGGTGACGAGGGACCCGCGCGTTGTTGCATGCTCATATACTTTAGCATAGCGGCAGGGAATGGCGGGTTGCTGCGGCTCTGAGATCGGATTTTACTGTTCAACTGTCTCTCGTCTACGACCTTGACTTTGTTAAGCATATAAGATCGGCCGAAAAACATTGCCCTGGGTGGCTAAGGCGACGACCGACCCGAGCGCCATTGCTCGTGTGCTTTATCATAACTGCAGGAAATGGCGGGATGTTACGGCCGTAATAAGCGTATAAGATCGGCCGAAAAGGCCTGATTTACGTCAGTAAATAAACGACGAAAAATATTCCAGATCTCCTAGAGACGTGCGGGGGATTGTAGCGTCAGATATGTTTGTGCGCATGCTCAATAATAGCTAACAGAAATAACATTTTGTTAATTATAACATTTTGTTAAACTTGTGTATTTAAAAAATCAGCTGGCATACGCAGGAATATGTTTCTATGAAAATTATTTGAGAAAAGTTGCGGTAAGTTGAGGTACATAAGCTAACTAATATTTCGTTCGAACTAATATTTAGATACTGCATGAGCATACACGAACACAGTTAGGTTCATTTTACCCTGTTCTCCAGTATAGCGAAACTCGGGAAAACTGGGCGCCTCACAATTGTTAAAGAGATTACGTCACCGTAAATAGTAAAAGTAAAGAAAGATTATGTCCACTTTTTCACAAAATGTAAGTGATTCTGTTCGGTTTTTATGGTTAAATTGCTGCATTATACTTCATATTTTGCTATGACGTTCGATGTGAACAAGCCCTCGTGACTCATCCATAGCCTATAGCAAGCATGTCATATGATCAATATAATAATCAAACCGCCCAGTTCTTTTGGATTTTTAACTACTTGAAAAACAATCTTATCAGGTAAGAATTTGAGTATACATTTAGTGCCATTAGTACTTACATTTCATACTTAATACTTTTCATGTAAAAAAATTGCAACAAAATTTTTACAAAATTATATACACCATAGAAAATTCGTGACGTAGTCAATTTAAAACGAAATGCCCAAACGATAGCAACGTAGTGATCCATGTCGTGGGGGCTGGGCAAATATTGAGCGTCTGCGATGCAAGAGGATATCAATTACATGATCCTGAAGCCGCCGGCCCACTGAGAAAAGCTTTACTTTCGTAATAAATCGATAAAGGGACTTTTTGCAGGATAAAAAGTAGGATAAGGAATGCGCTCTTGGCTAGAGGTTTCATTGACTTGTTTGACCAGTAATCATGCTTATACTCAGCAGGCCAAAGAGCCTGCTGACCACATACAGGCCTGACTAACTGCAAAAGAATATTTTTGCAAAAGAATAATCATATTTACAGTAACCTCAAATATTTTCATGACTAGTATAATCAAAGACCTCTCTCTCTCTCGCTCTCTCTCTTTCCGCTCTCTCTCTCCTCGAGGCTCTCTCTCTCTCTCTTCTCGTCTCTCCTCTCCTCTCTCACTATATATATATATATATATATATATATATATAATATATATATATAATATATAAATATATACTATAGCCGGCGTTCACACGTAGCAAGAAACAGGTATAGCGTTCACGAGCGAGGTAAAAAGCGCGGTCCAAGAATACGGTATCTAAACAGATCCGGTATTTTTTGTAAATACGCGGCTTCCCAACCCCGAATATTTGCCCGTGCTGGAGAAATACCGACTTCTGACCGCGCATTTTCATGGAACGCAAATACGCGGATTTCTGAAGCCGCGTATATTATAGACTGGTTCGCGCTCAGACAGGTCAGTAAAGCGAGTGAACTGGCGAGCGCGGACCAGTCTAACGTAGTTATCCGGCAGTTGTGCGTCATTGCATGTTTTATTTCGCATGTTGCTTGATTGTTAAAGCACTCGCAGCCCGCAATATACCGGATTTCTGGAGGCCGCGAATCAGCGTGTGACGCTCGGCCCTGCGTAATTTGTCCTCAGATTCGGTATTCGCAATAGCGTATTCATCAATACGCGGTCGTCGGTGTGAACGAGCTATTATCGAGGGTCTTTGGTAAATCAACGGGCAGGAGAAATAATTGAACGTACTTACCATAGCCTTTCTTAGCGCAACACACTCACTGAACATTGTCCTCGGGTTGGTTTCATGTTTCTCGAGTCTCTGATGTCATCAAGCCAATTCCGTGTTAGAAGTATTGACTTACCTAGAGAGACTTGCGTTCCCGCGAGATCGCGCACACAGCAAAAAAACGCAACGTTCGAAACGCTACTGTCATGCCACGCATTAACAACTGCCGCCGTAATCAATGCTCCATCGTCCGTCACACGTCGTCATCGTCGCCGTCAGCAGCATCGCCGCCGACCGTCGAGATTGCTAACAGCGCGCAGCAGTCCGTGACTCGGGTTTAAGACTTCGCGGCCAGTCGTGTTCGTAGTGCATCGTGGAGTTTCCTGATGTAGGTAACTGGCGAAGATGAACAAGCACATGCGGTCAGTAACAGTTCTACAGACTCTATACTCGCCCGACCTGCGAGACAGGGGTAGCCGTTCGGACAGGTGGTGGCCTACATCTGTCCATACAGATCTTCTCCAACAGTACGTAAAACTTTCGTGTCAGTCTTGAGTAGGAAAACATGAGAGCAGGCAGACGCGTTTCACACGTAGCAAGAATCCGTAATTTAGCGTTAACACTGAAGGCCAAAAATGCGCGGTCCAAGTAATAACGGTATCTTAAAACAGATCGCGGTATTTGAGATGTAATACGAGGCTTCCCCAGACCCGCGCGGAATAATTTCGCCGTGCTTGAGAAAGACCGGATCTCTGGACCGCGCATTTCTCGTGTGAACGCTAATACCATCATTTCTGAAGCCGCGTATTTATAGACTGGTCCGCGCTCACAGTTCCAGTGTAGACGGCGAGTAGAACTTGGCGAGCGCGGGCGCTAGTCTACGTATTTTTATGTCAGTTGGTGCCAAATTGCATTTGTTTATTTCGCATTGTTCGCGTGAATTGTTCTTGCCGCTCGCAGCCCGTAAATACGTATTTTCTGGAGCCCGCGGAATAGCGTGTGAACGCTCGCGCGTATTTGTCTCAGAATTCGATTTTCGGCAAATAGCGTATCGTAAATACGAGTCCGTGTGAAACGGAGGCTCTCGTGTATTCTAAGCAGGTTATTTCGCGGAATGATGGCATGGATTGAGGAATGGATAGATGGTTGACTGATAATGAATGATGGATATTAGGATGGATGGAGGATGGATGTATGTATGTACGATGGTGTGGTGGTGTGTGTGTGGTGTGTAGTGTTGTGTGTGTGTGTGTGTGTGTGTGTGTGTGTGTGTGTGGGTCGGTGGTATGTATGTATTAGTATGTCGTACGTACGTACGTACGTACGTACGTCTAAGGTTATGTATGTAGTATGATGTATGCAGTATGTATGTAAGTATGTAGTATGTGTATGTATGTATTATGTATGTATGTAGTAGGTATGTATGTAGATGTATGTATGTAGGTAGTAAGTATGTTATTAGTATGTATTATGTAAGTATGTATGTATGTATGTGATGTATGGTATGTATGTATGTATGGTATGTATGTATGTAGTAATAGTATGTATGTATGTATGTATGTATGTATGTATGTATTATGATGTTTAGTAGTAGTATGATAATGTATGTAGTTATGTATGGTAGTATGTAGTAGTATGTATGTATGGTAAATGTAGATGTATTACGTATGTATGTATGTATGTAAATCCCACAACAGCAAATACAAATCCACAACACAAATGCAAATCCCGCAACACAAATGCAACATCACAACACAAAGCAAACGCCAAACACAAATGAAAACCCACAACACCAAATGCAAAATCCCCAGCAACACAAATCAAACGTCAGCAACACAAATGGCAAACGCCACAACACAATGCAA